GAGCTATGGCCCCAGCCCAACACTTTGTCTTTTGAAGCAAGGAACATCTGGGATAGAAAGGAACCAGCATGTGAACATCTGGGCTAACTCATAACTAGAGACTTTAATTTTCAGTTTTTTGGTTGAAATAATCGAATCTTCCTCTAGTTAGGTTATTCCACCAGGAGTGGGGATAGAACTTTAGGAGAATTACCTTATGTAACCCTCAGGACCAAGCCTGTTGGCCCTTTTACAAATGAGGCGTGCCTGCTCTAGACAGATCCCAGGTGCCATCCAGTCTCCCTCCCTATGCCCTTTGATGCAAGGAGCAGCCTCCATCCTCCACAGGTTCATAGGCCCCTGATGACCTGGCCCTGCCCAAAGCCTGCAAAGTGCTTTGTAATTATTTCATGTTGTGCAGCGATGGAGAAGGACATAAAGGTTCCATTCCAAACAGAAGCCTGAGGACTTTCTTCCAAACAGTCTATAATCTATTATAGCTTTTTTTCTTTTCCCTTGACATTTGTATGTGTATAAACATCATGCCAGAGGTCTGGAGGCTCTTTTCTATCTCAAGTATGTAAACACTTGTCAGCTTTGGATGTTGTCCATTGGGAGTGTTTTTCCCCTGCAGGGAAAAAAGCAGTGTAGCTCAAAAGTGTGTATCCTTATTATACAGAAGAGTCCCATTGTAGTTTTAAGAATCTGGGTGTTTTCATTTTATTTATTTATTTATTTATTTGTCCCTAGTGAGTTTTATGTTGTTAGAATTGGATGGAAGAGCAGCCTCCAAGTGGAGGTCATGGCTCTGCTGGTACAGTGGCCTGGGGATAAGAGACTCCAGATTGATAAGGTCAGAGTGAGAAAATCAGGGTGTAAAACATTGGGAACCATCTTAGCAGGTGAACCAGAGAGGCTGAAGTTGAGGCTTTTAACTTGGTTAGAATAAATGTCCCCTGATCCTTTAGTAAACAGGTAAGGATACTTTGTGGATATTCACTACCCCCTGACCACTGCTGAAGGTAGAAATGCATGATCCCTCATGGTACCTGGTTTGGTATTTTATTCTCCCATTTCACACTTTCCCTAACCATTTCTAAATGAATTGACTTCCACTGGATAAGTTTTCTGCCTTCCCTTAGAGGGTTAAAGGCAAAAGGACATGGGCACCTGGCACTGCATTGGTAGTGTATATCTCAAGGAGACCTGCAAGCTGATTCAGTTAGGTTCATCACATACATGGCCCATGACATCATGGATGAGCAGTTTTACTGCATGTCACTATTGAGAAGTCCTAGATCAAAGACCATAGTCTAACCCTTGGAAGATCTTTCTCCTGGCCAATGTAGCCCTGCATTCACTCCAGCTTGAACAGGCCCTGCAAGGCCTGTTCCTAAACTAGCAGCTCACAAGGCCTGCAAACAGAGCCCTTCTTGCATATACCACAGCACATAAAAAGAGCTAACCTGAGCTCAAGGCCCCTGTAGAAGAAGCCTTTGCTGCTTGTTATGACAAAAGAAAGATGTTGAGGGGCTACCTCTACATTGGATCAGTAGATCAGAAGCATGAAGTCTTGAGATTTTTAAAAAATGAATTTATACCAATGACTTGAGGCTGAAATAGGAGGATCATAAGTTCAAGCTGGCCTTGGCAACATAGCAAGAACCTCAGCAACTTAGGAGACCCTGTCCCCCCAAAATAAAAAGGACTGGGGATATAGCTCAGTGGTAAAGTGCCCCTGGCTTAAATCTCTGGTACCAAAAAAAAAAAAGAAAAGAAAAGAAAGAAAGAATTTATTTAAAAAAATAACAACCCTGAAGATATTTATCAAGTAAAAAGACCACTTTCTTGACCCCATGCTTCAGAGAGGACTGGTATCAGTTTTTCTCTGCTTATACAACAGATACCTCAGTTTTGTGCGTGGGATCATAACATATGTTATTTTACAACTTACTTTCTTTTTTTCAATATGCCATAGATACCTTTTCACATTAATTAATCAATTTCAGTGCTTCTTGAGAATGGCCCTTGGACAGTCTTATCACAATTTATTTGACCAAAGTATCTTACTGATGGATATTAAGGTTGCTTCATTCTTTCACAAGTGGCTCCTAATAGAACTCCCTGTGCACATCAGTCATCTATGATGTCTCCTGCCAGCATAGGCCTGCTAGAATTGGGATTGGGGGTTAAAGGACATGTACATTTGACAATTAAAAAGAGAACACCAACTTGTCCTCTAAAAGGTAGTATGAATGTATCCTCCTGCTAGAGGAAGCCCCTTCCTGCTGTACCAGGTGGAGCAGTGGGGAGGAGACAGCTCCCAGGTTGTAGCATTTGTTGAGTTACAATATCCCTCCAATGTGATTCCCAACTAATCTCCATTTGCCACTGACCAGGCCACGGATGGGGAAGTCACAGCCATGGAGGAGGCACCGGTAAATGCATGTCCCCCTGGATTCAGGCCCTGGGTACACCTTTGTTTTTGTTTTTTCTTTTTCCTTTTGTATTTCTGTGTTTACTCAACCTTCATTTCAGAAAAGCTGCCACCTGCTTCTCGGGATTGCTTAAGCCCTCTGGGTGTCCTGGTCATTGGTGTGTTCCTCCTACTGATCAGTCCATCATGATGATCCTGCTTTTTCTATAAGATCCACCTTTGTGTCAGCGTCCATGCTCCATGAATCGCCAGCCATCATGTCTGTGATCCCTCTTGGTGCAGTTTGTCTTCGTGTTTAAAGAGCAAGGTGGACAGTTCTCTGCAGGCCTCTTGCTGGCTCAGAGCTGCCACTTGCCCATTTGTTTTCTGTTCAGGGGCACAGCCACCTGCTGCTATTCTCTGGCACATAAAATGCACCTTCCTTTCCAGGCCACAAGCAACTAAACCTCTCCAGGTGGAGCCTCTTGGGACTTAGACATTGCTGTGTCTTACTTTTCCACTTTCTCATGGGCTCTGCTGGGAATTTTACAAGCAGGCTGCTGAGTGAATTTCTAGCTATTCATCAATGGGACTTCTCCAATCCTTCAAGTTCTGCTCTGGGCCCTTTGGTTAGTTAGACACAGTGCATAGGCAGCCATATCCCCAAGCTTGGCCTCACTGACTTGCAGAATTCCCAGCATCTCTGCTCCCTATAGCTTCATTAGCTCATTTTGTTGCCCACTTGACCAGGTGATCACCGCTTCCTGTTTTTAGGTAACTGAAGAGGCGTATGTCCCAGTGAGTGACATGAATGGACTGGGATTTAAGCCTTTTGACTTGGTCATTCCATTTGCTGTCAGGAAAGGAGAAATCACAGGTAAGCCCTTCTTTTCATTGGGAGCCGAGAATGGTATTGGGGAGATACCACTGTCCCACAGACCTAGGATCCTTAACCCAGTGCCCCTGGTGCTTGCTCTGGGGCATAATCCTGTATTGCTTTCTTAAGAGAGCCTGTGATTCTCTCTAGGTTTAGAATTGCTGTTTTAGATACCTCCTGACTGTTAGGTTCCTGTTCCCCCTTTTCTTTCTGCCTTTTTTTTTTTAATATTTTTTAGTGTTGACAGACCTTTATTTTATTCATTTATTTATATGCGGTGCTGAGAATTGAACCTAGTGCTTCACACATGTGAAGGCAAGCTCTCTACCACTGAGCCACAACCCCAGCCCCTCTGCCTTTTCTTATTTGTCCACTTTTCCAAATGCAGTTGATGCTGAGGTTGGGTATACAAGAGTTACTTTCTCTCCTTGCCCCTTTCTAATGCCAGCTTCTCTTTGAGTAAATGTTCTATTTATCCTGCTGGTTTTGTGGTCCTCTCAAGTCCTATTTGAGCTTCTAATTTGCCAGTTGTAGAAACCCTTTACTTATGAGTTGCCTGCTGCATTTTGTGGAAGCCAACGGGAACCAAAAAAAGCAAAATAGGTCTCCATTTTCCATCTGTGGGACTTGGATGTTTTAGGCAGCATCAGTCTTCTAGAGTCTGAAAACCTGTGTTTTGAGGACGTTTCTCTGTTGCGCTCAGCTTCTTAGAGAAAGTCACCATGAGCCCATTACCCTGTGTCCCTGTGCTCCACAGGAGAGGTCCACATGCCTTCTGGGAAGACAGCCACACCTGAGATTGTGGACAACAAAGATGGAACAGTAACTGTCAGATATGCCCCCACTGAGGTCGGGCTCCACGAGATGCACATCAAATACATGGGCAGCCACATCCCTGGTAAGTGGGATTCAGCAGCATGGCCAGCAAAACCAGCAGGACTCTACGATTCAAGGACCTGAAAAGCTAGGGGGCTGGCAGACGTTCCAGGCAGGCCGTGCAATAAATGGTTCTCAGTGGCAGGCTTAGGGAATGCAGCCTTGGCATCCCTGTGAAACCAGGAAGCCTAGGATCCCAGCACATCCAGCCAGTTTCCCAAAGAGATGATGCAGCTCTGCCTCCTGGGTCTCAGTGCAAGCCTTCAGGCCTGTGGTTGTTTGTCTTTGTTGCTACTTGATGGAGTATGACCAGAGGTCAAGCTGGGAGAAAAATGTGAGGCGCAGTGAGGGACTTTCCAGCCTGGCCTGCAGAACCCTGTGTAGTGTGGGGTTTGGGGCAGGGTCAGAGCAGGAACAGAAGGGTGGACAGCCTTGACAAGGAAAGCCAGCTCAAGTTTCGTGGCCATCAAACAACATAGTGCTAGTCTTATTCTTTTCTTTTTTCTTTTGTCTTTGTTCAAATATTTTTTAGTCTAATTTTTTGAGTAAGTAGCATATTCACATGGTTTAAAAACAAAAGCCATGTGGAGAACTGTTCCCCGCCCACCCGCTCATTTCTTCCATCTACCCTCTTCTTGAATATATTAGTGATTTCTTATGCTCGATTTCAGGATATTTTAAAAAATGGATTAGGCTCCCCCACCTCCCCATAAACATAAATAGTAGCATCTGTACACATTTATCTATCTTTGCTCTTTTCATCTCTCATATGGACCTTCACCCTGTTTGGATGAGTCATTGTATATGTGACCAATTTCCTTTCAGAGGGCATTTCTGGTTCCACATTTTAGTTGTCACCAGTCTTTTTACATCCATCTTCTCACATTTTTCACTGGGTACCTGTGGGAGTTAGGCCTTAGAGGTGTGGGACACAGGTGCTGTCTTCTGTGGGTTGGCTATATCTTGCCAAATTGCCCTTCCTAGGGGCTACTCCATCCATACCCCCACCAGCAGTGGAGGAGAGCACTTGCCTCTTCACAGCATGGACAGGGAAATGTGCTTTCAGATTTTTGGATCTTTGTGAGTATGAAGTTGAGGAAAGCAATATCTCAGAGTTGCTTTATTTGCATTTCTCTTGTGAACCAGATCGAGCAACTGTCCATACATTTGAGTGCTGTTCATATTTCTTTTGCTGTAAACGGAACATTTCTATCCTTGGTCTATTTTTCTATTTGGTTACTGGCCTTTGTCATATTGATTTTGGAGTACAGTGTAAATATTAGAGAAATTAGCCCTTCATGATAGCAGTTGCTAATACTTGTCTGAGTTTCGCATTTCCTTTTGTTTATGTTGGTATGTATGCATGATATTTAAAGAACAAATGTATTATCTACATCTATTTAAATATTCTAGAGATACAGATGGTAGAGAGTAAGAAAAGGTCTTTCTCACATTGCCTTTCTACTCCCTGCCTGGGTAAATCAGATGTTTCTCTGTATCCCTGCTAACATGCATACAGTTGTGTTCTGTTTTGTTTTTGAAAGAAAGACAAATTGGTATTATTATATAGCAACTTACTTTTTTTCTTTTTAACACAACCTACTATGGATAATCTCTCAAGTTAGAACTCAAAAATCTCTCTCTTGTTTATTTTTAAATGGCCAACGAATAGACCTATTTCTCCTGTATCGTTGGACACTGGGGTCTTTTCCTGATTTGCATGTGAACACTGTGGGAATTAAAGTGTTCTTTGCATAGGGCTGGGAATGGATCCCCACTGTGGGATCCATTACTATCTCCCTAGATCAATAAGGACTTTCATTTTGAATGGCACAGGCAAATGGCCTTCCAAAAAGACTTTTCCAGACCTTTCCCTCTAGTAGTAGATCATTTCCTCTCATACAGTGCAGTGATTCTTCTGCTTTAGCCACTGGCCCCCAACCCCAGTCTGGAGTAGCCCTGGGGACTGTTTTTCTCTTGTAATTGAGTGGAGGAATGATACTCATTTGACCCCCTCAGAGTCCTAATATGGTGAGGCAAGGCATCTCCTTTTATCTTCCACCTCTCCTCAGGAACCTGCCTGTGGTTGGGTGAACTAACATTAAAATACCTGTCATCTGAGTGCTCGTTCATCATCTAATGAATTCCAATTTTGTGTTTTTCTTTGGCAAACCCAGAGAGCCCTCTCCAGTTCTATGTGAACTATCCCAACAGTGGGAGCGTTTCTGCATATGGTCCAGGCCTGGTGTATGGAGTAGCTAACAAAACGGCCACCTTCACGATTGTCACCGAGGATGCAGGAGAAGGTACTGGGTGGTTTAATGTTTATGTGCTTCTGGCCTTCCATTTGGGGAGTTAAGTGGACATGATTCCAGGGAAGCTTTTTAAAATGAAATTATTACCAGGTACTGTGGCACACACCTGTAGTCTCAACACTGGGAGGTTGAGAGGGGAGGATTACTTGAACCCAGGAATTTGAGACCAGCCTGAGCAATGTAGCAAGACTTTGTCTCCAAAAAAAAGAAAATATTGAGTAGTAATATTTGCATTATCTTTTCTCTCACATAGATCTATGTGTCCTTTAGGTCGACTCTGTCTTCTACCTATTACAGAATTTCTTTTTTGGGGGACAGAATTGATGGCTTTGAGCATGCTAACCAAGCACTCTACCTACCACTGAGCTATATGCCCAGTGTTCCAATACAGAAATTTTTGAAATCCTGTGTTCCAATTAAAATCAAATTTGTACTATGAAATATTTTATATGACTCACCTGGAATTAACGTGCTTTTGTTGAAGATGTTCTTCTTGTCCTTTTTGCACATGTATCCATAGATCCTCCTGTAAGTTTTTTTAGCGACTCATTCTAGTTAAAGCTCTGTGCCCATGTCCCTTGTATTTCCTAACCTGTGGTTCTAGTGGATTTCTTTGATGGTGTCTAGCTAACAGGGATAGAATGTGTCTGGCACCACCCTGTATGTGTTACTGACCTACAGGGCTCCATGTCATTCTTGTCCCACACATCCTGAAGAGTTAGGGGTTACTAGAGAGAACCCAAGGCAGACAATGGGGTGTCTGCCCAGTGAGCTTTTCCCTCTTGTAAATTGCTTCTTTGTTACCTAGACCCCTTATACAGCACACACATGGAATGTGTCAGCCTGTTGTCCCTGGCATCAGGGTTGCCCTGGCTAAGTTGTCCCTGTGGAGACAAGGAAAGTCTCTTAACTGCCCTCCCTCCCTGGTTCACTCACAGGTGGTCTCGATTTGGCTATTGAGGGACCCTCGAAGGCAGAAATCAGCTGCATTGACAACAAAGATGGGACGTGCACCGTGACCTACCTGCCTACACTGCCAGGCGACTATAGCATTCTGGTCAAGTACAATGACAAGCACATCCCTGGCAGCCCCTTCACAGCCAAGATCACAGGTGGGTTCCCTGGTTTGCTAGGGTTGTCCTCATGGGACAATATACCTGCCTCAGACAGCCATTCTCTCTGCATGAGACCAGGGGTGGCAAACTGTATCTGTCTGAATTTAGGTTTCATAGAGACTCTTTGGAGGAGCATCCATGGTGTAAGTCCACCTTCAGGCAGGCTAAATTCTTCTCTTCACTGATAACTTAGGGAAAAACAAAAGCTACCATTTCGAGGATGATTATTTTACACCAGTATAACTTCATCATGCAAAGAACAAGCCCTCAGAGAGAGGCATGCAGATAATACTGGATGAGTACAATAGCTCAGAGAAGTCCAGCATCACTAACAGGCAGGTTTCCTGTTCTCCATTTTATAGACGAGAAAACCATGGCTTGGTAAGGTAGTAGCTTAGTTGAGTTCTCGTGTGGGTGTTCTAAGATTCAGGATAAGTTATCCTATTCCAAAGCCCATGTTCCTAACCTCTATTCCACCTGCTGGGTTTGGTTCTAATTTTCAGTGGGTTATAAGGAAAAAACACAAGTTGAGGTTCATGTCCCCGTGGTGTTTCGACCTCTCTGAAGCAGCCAGTAGCCCTCTGTGGACCATGATCAGTGTGTCCCTGAGAAATGCCAAGCCATGGCAACAGGTGGGAAGTGCCTTCCATTTCCATTCAAAAAGTGGCCTATGAGGATCCACATCCCCAGCTCCTGCCAGCTCCTAGTCTTCCCTTGAACCAGGCATGAGTACCAATCATTCTTTTTTGGTCCTGTGTGCTCATGGTCAGAGCCACGTTTTGTCACTTAACTGGGTATTTAATTCTTACCTGTTAATCTGTCAGTGGCATTTGGAGTGAGGGTTTCCATGCAGCCACATGTAACAGGATCCTTGTTGGGGCTGTTTCCCAGATGACAGCAGGCGTTGCTCCCAGGTGAAGTTGGGCTCAGCTGCTGACTTCCTACTTGACATCAGTGAGACTGACCTCAGCACACTGACAGCCAGCATTAAGGCACCATCTGGTCGTGATGAGCCCTGTCTCCTGAAGAGGCTGCCCAATAACCACATCGGTGAGTGCCTTCCAGGTGGTGAGCTTGGACTCATGGCTGGGGGATGGGCCCCTGAGGTGCTTTCTTGGTGGCACATTGGAGTGTGACATGGTAAACTTGTTGGGTCACATGCATGAAGAAAGTCTTTGTTCTGATATTGACACCCTTGAATATTCTGGGTTGTTGTAAATTCAGGAAGGAAATCGTCAATTACAATTTTGAGAATATGACATTCCCACTTCTCCACTTTCTTTCCTCCATCTCCTTCTTTCCTCTTACATACCTCAATGTATGTTTTGGTCCAGGCATCTCCTTCATCCCCCGGGAGGTGGGTGAACACCTGGTCAGTATCAAGAAGAATGGCAACCATGTAGCCAACAGCCCCGTGTCCATTATGGTGGTCCAATCGGAGATTGGTGATGCACGCCGAGCCAAAGTCTACGGCCGAGGCCTGTCAGAGGGCCGGACTTTTGAGATGTGTGACTTCATTGTGGATACAAGAGATGCAGGTCTGTGGCATGTTTCCAGGGGAAATACCCAGAACTTATAGGAAATGGCTTCTTTTTCTCAATCTGCTTCATCTTCATCCTACCCAACTCCCTTTTCTCTCTGAATAGTCTTCAAACTCAGAGAGGTCCTTGAGGGTCCTTTTACCTACATAATCATTTAAACCTCATGACCATGGGGAGAGAACATATTTGTTTTATAAATAAAGAAACTAAGGCTCACGGGCTTATAGTTATATTTGCTCCTGAGATTTGAATCCAGATCCACAACAACTCACAGACCTGTGTTTTGTTGCCTATACTGCCCTCAGTTTGTTCTTCTCATGGTGAGTCTCCTGGCTTTATCCTAAGTGAAGAATGCTGGGCCAGGTGGCCAAGATAGTATTCTCCTGACTGGTTTCATGGACATAGTAGATGTTCATGAGGAAGGAGTCCTCTGGAGAAAGCCTTGTTCAGCAGTTTAGTCACTGTGTGACTTCTCAGAGGCTTTTAAACTGTTCTCCTGTCCCAGGCTCTCCAAATAGGGCTGCTATTACTTTCTGCTATCTAGAAATAGTTTGCACTTCAGGGGTTAGATGTCCCTTCTATAGTCAGTGGGCTCCCACTTGTCAGAGAGTTGCTGTCATAATGGCCGGAGGCTGCTGTGTTGCAGGTTATGGTGGCATATCCTTGGCAGTGGAAGGCCCCAGCAAGGTGGACATCCAGACAGAGGACCTGGAAGATGGCACCTGCAAGGTCTCCTACTTCCCCACCGTGCCTGGGGTTTACATTGTCTCCACCAAATTTGCTGATGAGCATGTTCCTGGTATGTGTGACCTCTGCCCTCCTTTTCTGGTGCTTGGGATTTCTGTAAATGCTGTGCCTTGGCCTCTGGGCGCTCATGAGCACCTTGTTGGTTTTTCAGGAAGTCCATTTACTGTGAAGATCAGTGGTGAGGGAAGAGTCAAAGAGAGTATCACCCGGACCAGCCGGGCCCCCTCAGTGGCCACTGTTGGGAGCATCTGCGACTTGAACCTGAAAATCCCAGGTGGGTGCATGGGATCAGGACATAGTAGTAGGCACCACAGAAAACCAATTCCAGGCCTAGCTCAGAACGTGCTACCTAAGTCAGCTCTGGTGACCTTTTTATTTCATTTCATTTTGTTTTCAATATTTATTTTCACAGATGCCTAATTAAGAAAAATAAATTTATTTACCTGCTATCTTTCTCTTCTTCCAAATGAAAATGGCTTTATTATGTTACATGGGCAGAACATGGATATGCTTTTAGGTTTACTATTTGCCAAAAAGAATAATGTCAGTGAGAGCACTGGTTACACTTCTAGATACAGATGCCAGTGTCTGGAAGGATTTAAGTGACATTGGCCCTGCAGTGGCCTTCTAACATTTCTACTCATCTCTTTCATGCCTAAAATTAGGAAGAGGGCTGTACCGCAAAACTGGGTGGGCCACATCCAGCCCTTTGGCGATGAATTTTTCCTCGTGGGGCCAATGAGCAGTAAACAGGCCACACAGTCTGGAATGTGGTTCTAGTTCTTTCTATAGGGATCCTCCCAAACAAAATTCATGGTGTCAGTGAGAGTTCTGAGCTCCTCCACCCATAAGCTGGCATGCACCGATTCTGCAGAGAAGGAAAATCAAAACTTGTTTGTGATCTCCTTAAAAGAGGACTGGTTTTCCTGTTCCTAGTATATTGTGCATCTATTTACTCTGCCTTCTCGGCTGTAGTTGGTAGGGTCTTGTGTAGGCACAACAATGTTGGGTCACATGGGAATGTGTGAAGAAGCCTCATTACTATAAGGTCAAAACAAGATCACTTTAAGCTGGGCATAGTGGTGCACACCTGTAATCCCAGTGACTCCAGAGGCAGAGGCAGGAGGATCGCAAGTTTGAGGCCAGCCTGAGCAACTTAGAAAAACCCTGTCTCAAAATAAAAAAATAAAAAGGGCTGTGGACGTAGCTCAGTGATAAAGTGCCCCTAGGTTCAATCTTTAGTACCAGGAAAAAATTAAAAAACAAGATCACATTAGAAGAGTTGTATAGATTGTTTTGTGATTATAAAAAGTGCATATTTCCCACATTGGAGGGAGAATGCATGGCCAGAAGGGGGATTGCTGGGTGGTACATTTCATATGCAGCCATGACTTGGCTGATGGCCCTCCAGAAATGTATTGGTGCCCATTTCTACATATTTTCCACCATCACTGCCTTTCATTCTCACTTTGGCCAACCTGATGGAAAAACACAGTATCTGGTTTTCATTTTCATTTCTTGAATTATTAGTGATGAGAACTGTGTTTGCATTTGCTTTATGTTTCTGATTTTGCAAATTATCCATTCTGTTCTTTTTTGCTTATTTATTTCTTGGAATTATCTTTGTATTAGTGTGAACGCTTGTTCTTTGTCTTAAGTCTCTTGATGACTTTGTTATTCTTTTTGGTTACTTGGTAGCAGATGACTCTGGGAGGACTCACAGTTCCCCTCATTACCCACATGGTCCCCTCTCCTCTGTTGGGATGGCTCATCAGCTTCCAGATATCCTCAGGACCCAGGCTTTGGGCAGGGGGAAGGGGATCTCTTGGTCAGTTTGGATTGCTATAACATTGTAAATGAAGGACTACCAGCAGACATTTACTTCTCATGGTTGGTCAAGACTGGAAGTCTGAGATCAGGAACCAGCATGATTGGGTTCTGGGGAGGGTGCTCTTCTAAGTTGCAGATAGCTGCCTTCTTGTATCCTCCCATGGTGGACAACAGAGAGAAGCAGACTCTTCTAGCTCTAATTCCATCCTGAAGGTTTTCCTTTCATGACCTCATCAAATCCTGCTTTTTCCTGTAGGGTCCCACCTCCTAAAACTACCACACTGCGGGGTAATGTTCAACATGAATTTTGGAGGAACATAAACATTCAGTACATAACCTGGGATGACCGCTCCTCAACCTCCCTTCCTTCTCTGTCCTCAGGATTCAGAGTCACGAACTCCTCAACCCAGATCCTGTAGGGCCGGAGGGTGCAGTTTCATATGGGCTGTAGGTGATGGTAGTGCTCAGTGTCCTGTGTGTCCCCTGCCTGCCTGTCTCCTTCACATTGGCACAGGCACAATTGTTAGCATGATGCGAGCAGCTCACAGTGTACATGTGGTCTATACCCTGGTGCTGGTGACCGAGGCATCTTGTGGCCTCTGTCTGATCTTCAGTCTGAAGCTTTTGCTTCTGAAAGCTTTTGCTCACGCATGGTTTTCCCTTTGCCATTGAGACTGACACGTGTTCACCTTTGTCTCTGCATCTGGTGTTATTGCCTAGAAGAAATGCAAAGCTTCTTGACAGTAAAGGATGAAGACCCTTGTGTTTTCTACCCTTACCTGCCTGGTGGAGAAGAACCATACAAGCATGACAGATGGCCATGTCACCTTTGTTCTGGATGTACCTGAGCTGCTCTGGTTTTTTATTTATATGTTGCAGCTCAGTTCCTGGTTTGAAGCTGTCACATCAGATTAACTCACTTCCAGCCAGGAAGGCTGTAAATATACTTGATGGGGCAAGAAGTGTCAGTACCCTAGAATGCAATCTGCACTGGGTGCCTGAAGGGCCCCAACCACTCCATGCTGGCCACAGGAGGACAGGCCTCCAGCCCGAAGGGGAGGGGGCCTAGCACCCTATGTCCACCAGGCTGCACCTGCCTTGCCTTCTGCTGCTACCCTGCATGTTCCACCTGCCTCTGGCCCTTGCTCTAATCCTCCTTTTTTTCCCAACCTCTTGCCTCTTTTCAGAAATCAACAGCAGTGATATGTCTGCCCATGTCACCAGCCCCTCTGGCCGTGTGACTGAGGCAGAGATTGTGCCCATGGGGAAGAACTCACACTGCGTCCGGTTTGTGCCCCAGGAGATGGGCGTTCACACGGTCAGTGTCAAGTACCGTGGACAGCATGTAACCGGCAGCCCCTTCCAGTTCACTGTGGGGCCACTTGGTGAAGGGGGTGCCCACAAAGTTCGGGCAGGAGGCCCTGGCCTGGAGAGAGGAGAAGCAGGAGTCCCAGGTGAGCATTCCAGCAGCTTGGCGGAGACTGAGAGTTGTTGGGGATGATAACCTGCACCCCTGGCTCTAAAGGGAAGACTTCTCATGGATGGCATTCAGGGACATTCCTTATTCAAGGCTTCTGTGGCTAAGTAAGTTTGAGAATTGCCCAAAGCTAAACAGGCTTCCAGGACTTCTCAGAGTCTATAACTTATTAGTGTGGATCTGAAGCTCTAAGAGGGTCTGATGTTCTATGGAACACACAAGAATGCTGCAAAACCAATCGTCAGGGTCCTTTATTCCCATCCTTTTCTGGCTTCGTTTGGGTGTATTCAAAAGATGCCAGTTATCTGTGAACTTAATAATCATGGGCAGTGCTTAGGAGACCACAGGGATGGCCCTTGCTTGGATCCTGCCTAAGGTTAGAGAAAGAGGAAAGGGCTGGTGAGGGACTAAACCAAGCACTACAGATTTGAACAGGTAGAGGGGCTGGGGCTGTCCTGGGCTCAGTCACTAACCCAGTGTTTTTTCACTCTCAGCTGAGTTTAGCATCTGGACCCGGGAAGCAGGTGCTGGAGGCCTCTCCATCGCTGTTGAAGGTCCCAGTAAGGCCGAGATTACATTCGATGACCATAAAAATGGATCATGTGGTGTGTCTTATATTGCCCAAGAGCCTGGTATGTACTCAAGGGTTGACTTGAACACATTTTGCTATTCAGAGATGGTTAAGTTGCAAGGAACAGAAACCCATCTAACTCAAGTATCCAAGGCATTTGTGGGAGGAGGCACAATAGAGAGCTTTCTAGAAAGCCAGTTGCAGAAAATAACTGGGTCTCAACGGAGTGAGGACTCTTGTTATCATTATCTTTCACAATTCTTTCTCCATTGGCATATTTGCTTTTTGCTTTCTTTCAAATGCTTCTGTCAACTCATGGCCCATGACTGGGACATTTGCCCCAGGAGAGTGGCCTAGGTGTCTAAGTTTCCTAGAGCAAGTTCTTCATCTTTTGTGTCACAGGGACCCTTTTGGCATCTGGTAGAGTATATGGGGTCTGTTCTTAGGATGATATTTTGAAACAAAATATATTAGATTATAAAGGAAATCAATTATATTAAAATGTAGTTATCAAAATTAAAACATAGGTATTGATAGTTATCAGATATGCACCATAACAATATATGTTTCTCTCTCTTAATACATTAAATCATAAGATTTAGTGATGGTATACTAATGACCTTAATTTCAAAATAGTGATTAGTGCAAATGATATACAAAATATTTACAAAACTTAAAATGGTATAAAAAATACTATTTTTGTTGGGGATAAGTCACAGGTACTTATCCTGTGCTGTGATTTCTTATTGACATTTCTAAAGACTAAATTTCATTAAAGATGTGATTTTCCTCCCCCATTCGAGTCTGTGGATCTCCTGAATTCTCTGCATAGACCCTTTGGGGACCCTGTGGGCCTAACCCTGCCAAATTAAGAAAATTATACTGACTCTTTCATTCAGCTATGGCCATGGAGCAAGGCTGTGTCTCTCTCTGAGACATTTTAGTCCTAGCTAAGAAGCCAGAGGCCACTCTGGAGGCAACCTTTTAGAATCTGTGAAATGATGGAGCTTTCCTATCCCTACAGGTAACTACGAGGTGTCTATCAAGTTCAATGATGAGCACATCCCTGAAAGCCCCTACCTGGTGCCCATCATCGCGCCCTCTGACGACGCCCGCCGCCTCACTGTTATGAGCCTTCAGGTGAGACGCAAGGAAGCATCCGTCTCCTTGGCCACAGGCCAGCCAGTGAGACCCCTGGACTCCTGAGGCCTCTTCAATCTCCCCCTTGGGTGCCAAGACCCCTAGTTTCACTTTGACCTCAAGTCTTACCCCTTGTGGGCAAGCATTCCCATGACAGGGTCAGCTCCCCACATACTCAGAGCAGAAAACAGTTGGGTCAGTCAACAGCACACCTCAATGTTTAGGGACAAGTTTACTTTTAAATATTTATTTAAGAGAAACAAAGGAAGCCTGTTAATAATTGGTTAAGGGATAAGGAGAGACTTAAACAAAACAGACAGAAACCCAGCAGCCCAGTGATATTTAACCTGCTCTTGTTTGGCTGCTTTTTCCCTCAAAGTCAATTGTGATTTATTTTATAGGATGATTTTATAGAATAGTTGTAGCAGCCAGGATCCAGCTAGCATGAGGTGGCAGAGTAAGGTCTCTCTCACCTCAAAAACTGGGCTGTTGACTGCAGTTGCCTGAATCTCCACCCTGATCTAGAGGCAAATGGTGGCTTTGTCCACCCTACTGGGATACCAGGAGATGCAGCAACCCCCAACCCCATCTCAAACAGGTCACTTCAGTGTTGCATTGGTACCTTTAGCCAAACTAAGAGCCACTGGGGATGCATCTGCATCTGTTGGTCAGGACATTGAAAAATAATTTGTGTGAAATCAGAAGTAGCATTTAAGTTGTAGAATAACGCCAGACTCTCTAAAGAGGATTTCTGGTTAAGGGGCTTTCTGTATAACCTTTGGCTGCCCTGAGTTCTCAAAAATATTGGCTTGATTAATATCCACTTTAGTATCTCAGATTGGTGATATCATTGCATCTAGTTCCATAGGCTTCATTTACATTTGAGATTCTAGTCTTATTCTGGGGGAATTGGAATACTCCTAGATATTCCAAATGTTAGTCTTTCAGGTAGGGACTGAGATAGAACCCAAACCAGCATCATAGTTCATAGATTGAAGAGGCCTCATGTGGAGAATACCAAGGGTACTAACTGGTCACTGTGGTGTAGATGTATTTCTTGTGTTTCATTTAAAGGCTTCTTAACAGAAGCTTCTTTTGTGGCTGGCTTAAACCTTTGGAGGGAGATAAACCCAGCATTTGTTGAGGGCATAGAGCTGCCTTCATGCATCTCAAAGATTCCTTTTGGATCTTCTGAGGTGTTTATCTCCCTCTTGAGGATTTAGCGGCAAGCAGATTCAGGTAAAGTAAATGATTGTGTCCAAAATGAGCTGGTTTGGAGAAAGCCTTTTCCGAAAACCTTTGCTATAGAGTCCTCACATCACAGTTTGGTCATAAATATTTCAGTAAGCTTGCAGGAGGCCTTCTATCAAGCTTTTGTAACCAGCTGCTACAGCAAGAGGGACCTGTGTGTCTACATCATTCCCTGTTCTTTCTGGGTTATTTGATACTGAGGGTTGTGTAAATTATTTATCAGAGCCTTAATGGAGGCCTGCACAGCCACATCTGGTGCTGGTTAGGCAAGAGAGGCATGTATTGTTTTGTCTTGCTTTCGAGACTTTGTAGAAAATTGGAGTCGGCTGGCATTTCGTGGAGGGGGGAGTGGAATAGGGGTGATCTGGTGATCAAAGAATCCTTAATTTTGTGTTACGTCCTTCCTCCCCAGGCTGTAAGCTCTAGGCAGCACAGTAGAGTAGAACATTCTGCAGCAATGGAAATGTTCCCCATTTTCACTGTGCTACATGGTAGTCCCTAGCCACCTGTGGCTGGCTATTGAGCACATGAAATGTAACTAGAATAACTGATAAGTGGAATTTGGAATTTTATTTAATTTTAAGTGCTTTGAATGTAAAGATATTCATTTTATAGTCTATATACACATAGGCAACATTAATTTATATTTATATATTTACATACATACCTATATCCACATGTGGCTAGTGACTATCTAACTGGACAACACAGCTTTAGGGACTTGCTACTAACATATGGTCCTTAGACCAGCACCCTTGGCATTTAGAAATGCCAGCACCTGGAAATTTAGAAATGTCAAATCCAGTCCCCACTGAGAATCTGATCAGATCTCCTGATGATTTGCTTGCGTGGGAAGTGTGATCCCTGCTTTCATTAGTGTCTGAGGTGTGGCTATCTAATCAAGTTTAAAACAAAAAAGTGCTGACTTATAAAATTTTGCTGCTTGGGATTGGCCAGTCTTAATGTGTATTAAATGTTGCTATTTGGTTTAATTCCTAAGTACCTAGTTCTCTGTCCTTCCAGGGGAGGCTATTAGGTCCCAAATAGTACATGTGGAGTAAAACTGACCCAGAGAAAAGCAAAAACTACATTTCTCCCCATTGTTTTTTGTTTGTTTTGTTCTTTTGTTTTCGTTTGTTTATTTTGTTTTGGTGGGATGGGTGTAGGCATTTTGAAGTCTTTTTGTGTATGGGCCAGGCCTTGTGCTGAGTGTTGTACCTGTGTAACTTCATTTAATCCTATCAACAGCTCTCTGAGATAGATGAATTTATTACGTCCATAAATAACGTATTATTTATGTAAGTAATTCATCATTACTTACTGAGACTCAAAGAAGGATCAGCAGCTTAGTCATATTACTAGGAAATGGTAGTAAACCTAGGTCCAGCTGATTCTTCAACTCACTGTACAGTCCTGCCTACATTAAATGTTCTGTCCATTCCTACCCTTGAGAGGAAAAAAGAACAGTGGTATAAAACTTTAAGTTAGGGAGAACATGGTTTGGTCAGCTTCTAGGCTTCTCTTAAAGGGGAGTTCTTATGCTTGCCTGGCCCACACGAGGCCCTGGGTTCGATCCCAAGTACAGAAAAAGAAAGAAAACAAAAAAGGAGTCCTTGGTTTATTTCAGCTGAGGAGATACTACATTTTCTGGCCTGTACAAGTCTTGTTTGAGATAATTAGACAGTAGTCTGATTGACCAAGCTGTCTCAACCCTCCAACCCCAGGAGCTGTCTCTTCCAGCCTAAACCAGCCTAAATGGTTTGAGTACAAAACTGTGCAGATGTGTGTCTTGGTTTTCTTGAACTCTGTACTAGAAATGTACGTGATATGCTCACACTCTTTTGTTGTCAGATGTTATTTGGAAACATATTCTGGGCCTGTTTGCACGAGAACTGTCATCTGGAGTCCTGGGTCAGGTCGGTGTGTACCACTGAGCAGGAGCTCCAAGGGCCATAACCTGTCTAATATATTAAATTCTCAGGAATCGGGATTAAAAGTTAACCAGCCAGCATCCTTTGCTATAAGGTTGAATGGTGCAAAAGGCAAGATTGATGCAAAGGTGCATAGCCCCTCGGGAGCTGTGGAGGAATGCCATGTGTCTGAGCTGGAGCCAGGTAAGCAGGAGGCCCGCAGAACATCGCTGTGTGTATGCGTCCCATGTCTCGTCACTGTCAGCGACACTGTTTCTAAATTGTGATTTAGACATGGAACACAGAGACTCTTGACTTTGGCATAAAATTCTTTTTTTCTTCTTCCTCCTTTCCTCTTTGTTCTTCCTTTTCCTTCTCCTCCTTCACAAATTCTGCTTTCCTTTCTTTTAATTTTTTCAAATTCTTTTCACTTGACATTCTTTGTGATTTTTCTCTTATTTTAACAAAATCTTACAGATTTTTGTTACATTGTTGACCTTATGACATAAGTAAGTATACTTTGATTTCATTTTGCTGTGAGGAAAAAGTAGATCAACGTTCTTCTGTAAAGTGAAAAAAGAGAATCTAGGTTCTTGAGCTTATTGCCCTAAGATTTTCTTGGGTGGTGCCCTGGTATATGGAATTCTCTGACAGCGATCAACTTTAAGGAGATCAACTTTAAGAAGTGAACATTTATTGAATGTCAAGACATGGCAGGAAGATGAGGCTGGGGAATACATGCCCCCTGCCCTCAGAGAACTACTCAGAGCTAGTGAGCAAGGCCAGAAACCCGCCTCACCTGGTAATGACCCCTGATGGTTCCTTTGTCACAGGAGAACTGATCAGCAGCTGATGAAAATGTTAGAGCAGGCGAGAGAAGCAGGATCAAAGTGTCTGTTAGCAGTGATTTGATTTGGTCATTCAGCTGTGTTCTCCAAGCCCCAAAGATCTTGACTCTTTCTTCTGCTTTGTGGGTCATTGTGAGGCTGGCTTTGGTAGCAAGATGGCTGTAGCAGTACCAGATTTTCAGTCTTCACACTGCACCAACCAAGAGACATTTTCCTCTCAGAATTCATTTTCAGAAATCTGAGAGATGCCTTTTCTTGAAGTCTCCAGCAAAGCTCCCCTTTCATCTCACTGAACAGGGACACATGCCCATGACTAAGTCATGTCCTGTAGCTAAAGAAATGGCCTTATACTAATTGATTTAGACTTGAAGAAAGAAGGATTTTCTTTATTCATTCAGGGCCCACATCTGGACATGAGAATGGGTACCCAGCTGGGAACTGCTAGGGGAAGTACAGAGCTGAGAGGATTAGGGTGGGCAGCTCTAGGATATTAATCTCTGGAGAGAACTTGAGTAAAAAAGAAGAAGGTTTGGGTGGAACTTTGAGGGAACAGATTCTACAGGAGATGAAGTACAAGGAGCCAGGGAAGAATTGAGAGACTAACCAGAGAGGTGAAGGAGGGCAGATGCTCTGCATCCCAGGCTGGAAAGGGTCACCTTGGGCATAGGAGATGGATAATCTAGGTGCCCACTTCAGTTAACAGATTCTCTTGCCACATGCTGTGACCCAACAAAACCTGGCTGTTGCCTGTAGTTGTTAGCTTTGGGCTTAATTAAGGAGCATTAATGCCAGTTGGAACCATTTATTCCCCTTCAAGAGGCCAAGTATCGAGACATTGTGAGAAGTGAGCTTTTCATAAAGGAAGTGTCCTGAGGCAGAGGCCAGAGTGTGAAACCAAATTTGAGACTTGGATGCATTTCCCAAAGGGCTGACCAGGGACACACAAATAGACCCGTCTGGTTTTGAAATCCACCATGTTATGTGCTAGGCTCCCAGCAGAACTGTGTGTCTTTTTAAATGATTTTAAGGGTGGCCTGCAGTTCTGTGTCCTCACCTAACTCCAGCGTGTTCATCTGCCTGGTTTCACTCTGTGACTTTGCTTATTCTCCTAGATAAGTATGCTGTTCGCTTCATCCCCCACGAAAATGGCATCCACACAATTGATGTCAAATTCAATGGGAGCCACGTGGTTGGAAGCCCCTTCAAAGTGCGCGTTGGGGAGCCAGGACAAGCTGGGAATCCTGCCCTGGTGTCTGCCTACGGTGCAGGGCTCGAGGGGGGCACCACAGGTAAAATATCATTGCACTTCTTATCTTTAACAAAGCCAGCTCCAGAGGCAAAGCCAGGTGGAAATCTCCAAGGCCTGCAGAAGCCACCTGTACACTCCCCCTGGGAAAGTGGAGTAGCATGTACTTTGGAGGCTCCTGCTGTCCACCATTGTTTTGGGAGATAGGGCTTGACCTGTGATAAATCCAGAGTGAGATCTCTGTGGCAGTATTATCATGTCATTACTGTTCATTGTGGCCCAGATGTCTTCCTTCACCAAGTTCCTGGACCCCAGGGACAGGACACTGATAGTTGGGGAACATACCTGGTGTCATTAGTGATGAGTTTTTTTGCTTTCACAGAATTCACTGCTATCATCCCTCCCCGTCAGTTCTTCTGGTCCCTGGACTCCCAGAAATACACCAAAATAGTATAAAATCTGTCATGGCCCATTTCCTCCTCCTTTATTCTCTACTCCTGAAATGGCTCAAGAATTCTGAAACTTTTTGGACTCATTACAATATATTTTTAATGTTTGCTCCATTAAAATGGGACATATCTGATTCTGGAAACATAGGAACTGAAGAAGGATTTAAGGTGAAATTTACTTCCTTCCTCAGCTCCTTGCCTCTCCCTGGCCCCTGGTCCAGGAGCAAATACCCCTAGCAGCTCAGAGAGATCTTCATACCATCTGCCTGTCTCTCATTTGACTTCATTCTTGCTGGCTAGGTTGGTTAGCTACTTCTTTAAATGGTCAGATGGATGATTTTGCTTCTTTTATTTTATGGAAGTGATCTTATTGCACAGATTGGTGAGCAGCTTGCTTTCTTCCCTTGACATCTTAAATATTTTTCTGTATCCAAACATACAGCTCCACCCCCCTCTAAATGCCTATAGTTGGTATTCATACTGTGAACTAACAGCTGTTTGCATGTTCAGCTAGAGATGGACATTGGCTGATATTCACTGTGTCACTGTTTCAGAAGACGCTGGGGCGGGGAATTTGTCCTCTTGGGTGTCTCTGCAGGGGAAATCTGTAGTGGGGAACTCATTTGCATTTGATGTTACTTGGGGCCGTCTTGGGAAAGCAGCCCATTCTGGTTTCTCAAGTCCCTTGTTTGTGTGCATCTCTCCTCTTAGTTCCCCCGCCCCCACCACGCTGCCCTGCTGTGAGTGGGATGGCAAAGAAAAGTCTTCCTCATGGGAAAGAGGATGAGTGGCCATGGTTCTTGGCATCCAGTCCTGGATCAAAAGCATCCTAAGTTCCCAAGGGTCCCTACTCAGATTCATGAGTGACTGATGGGCCAGAATGCTCTTGGGGACTCCAACCAAAGCAATGGCCTTAACAGCCCCCCCTCCCGGGATGGCATTAATGCTGCTGGACTCCTCAGACCATCCAGATTGGCCCCCACTGAACTCTGAGCCAGCAGTTTGCCCTTTGTGAAGGGCCTTAGGTGAAATCCATTTGACAGTTGAGGAAAGGGAATCAGAGAGGCCCATCACCCCCAGACTCACTCAGGTAGGAGGAGGCAGAAGCAGGACTCAGTCAAGGTCCATGATCTGAGAGCCTGGTGATAGCCTAACCCCCAGGCTGTCCCTCTTCCCTAAGTGCCCACTTACCTGGAGGGCACGCACGCACGCACCTTCAGCTCACTTTGTGTAGTGTCCTAAACTAGCACTCCTGTCTTCCCAGCAGCCCTAGAATAATTTCCAACAGTACAGGCATTTGACCCTTGGCAGGCTACCCACTGAGCACTGAGGTGGAGTCCTTCTGCTTCTTGAGTGCACAGCAGCCTGTGTTCCCTGTGCCAGCCAGCAACCATCTGATCCCCCTGTTGGCTCATACTTATAGTACCCAGCCTCTCCCACTTCCTCTTGGCGGATTGCATGCCTTCTCCAGAGCTCGGGTTTCAGACTGAGCTTTGCAAGCACTGGACATTGCAGGGAGAAGGAGCCTGTCTTGGAGGGAAGCTTCTAGCCAGGAGAGGAGAGTACAGAGCATGCTTGTTTCAAACCCTGTGTAAATATTGCTCTTGTCAAGGGGAAGGTGTCTTGTTTTTTCTAGCCCTCCCATTCCCAAGCCTTTCCCCAAATATCCATGTGGAGGTTACACAGCTGCAGTGTGAACAGATGAAGAGGTATCTGCTCTGCTGCTGAAGGGTCCAGCATGCTGACCTTCAGCACAAAGCAAACCTCCCTGTGTTTATCTTGGGTGGGTTTGTTGTATCTCTTGGCTTAAACTTTCAATGGTCCATTCTGCAGATTTAGGAACAGGGTATGAGGAAAATTTAGGGGAGGGCTCTGCTGAGGCTTGGAGGTCAGGAGTTAGACTAGGGAGGTTTCCACTCTTTGGAGCAACTGAGTGTGTCCTGATAAATGCTCCAGAACCCCAGGATACACCCTATGCCTTCTTCCCCTCTACCCTCTCTCACCTTAAAGACTAAGTTGCACTGCATTAAACATGCACTGAACTCACAGGAACTCAGCCAGGCTGGAGGAGGGGAAGACCATCATGTTGAGATGTTTGTTGGTATCAGATCCTGGTTGTAGCTGGAGGTGGTGGTGAGAGACTTCTGTATGCAGGTTCTCTCTCTCCTGTCTTCTCTCAGACAGGTGTCTTAGTTCCAGGTCGGACAGACCTTGTAACAACTCTGGACAAGTTCTTTGCCTTTCTGTATTTCTAATTCATTTTCTGTGAAGTGGAAATAAGGAAGCCTAGTTAATAAGCTTATTCTGAGTATTAAAGTAGCTAATAAATAGCCAGGTAGCTCTTGTCCTATACTTCCTAATTTCCTTTTCCCACCTTATCATCATCTTTGCCTTTTTGGGCTCTCAGAGTCAGAATGAACTGATTTTTTTTACCCCCTCAGGGAATGAAATAACTTGTTAAAAAGAGTAGGGTGGGGGGGAGTGGAGCTGGACTAGGGATAGAGCTTAGTTGGTAGAATGCATGCCTCATGTGCACGTGGCCCTAGGTTCAATCCTTAGCACCACAAAAAAAGAAAAAAGAATGGTGCTGGGCTGGGCAGCTTAGTGGTAGAGCACTTGCCTAGTACGTGAGAGGCACTGGGTTTGATCCTTAGCACCATGTAAAAATAAATAAATAAAGGTATTGTGACAATCCAGAACTAAAAATTAAAAAAGAAAGAGAGAGAGAGAGAGAGAGAGAGAGAAAGAAAGAAAGAGTGGAGCTGCCAGGTGTGGTGACACATGCCTGTAATCCCAGTGACTTGAGATACTGAAGCAGGTGGATCACAAGTTCAACAACTTAGTGAGACCTTTGTCTCAAAGTAAAAAATGAAAAGGGCTGGGGATGAGGCTCAGTGGTTAAGCACCCCTGGATTCAATCTCTGCTACCTAAGAGGGCAGGGGTGGGGTGGGTGGGGGGAGTTGGAGCTTCTGTGCACTATAGCCAGGCCTTTTAAACTTCACTTTACAAATATCTTTCCTTATCGCCACTTTACAGCTACTTCCTGGACACACCACCCCCTTGTTATAGACTCTCTACTTCCCCCACAGTCCCCAGCCTGGCAGCTGCTGCTGAAGGGGCTTCTCAGCTACATAGATTAGGAACCATGACAAAGTTGAGATAGTGGGAGGGACTTGGGACAGGAGCCTCTGGAGCTTCCAGAAACAGCTAGGCTGCGTTTGAAGGTTACACAATGGTAGTTCCTTTTCTTTTATTGATAACCAGAACAATAATTCCTTCTCTGATCTGAGGGCTATAATTAAACCAAAACATTTCCCAACTGGGGTGGTGTCCAGGGCTCTGGCAAAAACAGCCTCCTGTGGGGGTGCTGTGCTAGGGATGCCCCATAGAGGGCACTGTAGGGGGCACGCAGCTGATGTTCTGACACCCAAGCAGCCCCACTGACCCCTGGAGTAGAGAGGGGGAAGTGGGATTTTTGTGGAGCTGTGGGCTTAGGTAGGAGTGCCTTCATGGCCATCAGTTGGTACTCTCTTTTGGGCTTTTGTCACAAGCGGGATGCCCTGGGACAACCAAGAGGTTAGGTATTCTGAGGTTGCAGGTTGGGCACCTCCGCTGTCTTTCCAGTGGCCAAGAAGGGCCTGGGCACCACAGCCTTGCAGACTTGGTTCAGATGCTGCTTGCTACTTTCTGATGATGCATCATGACTGGCAAGTGGTCAAACCTCCCTTAGTCTTAGTGCCATTCTGTGAAACAGAAACCACTGTGAAAGGGTCCCATGCACATGCATGTAAAATAATGCCTGGCACAGGGTCTGCAGCTTATGTGGGGTCTGTGGTTCTCAGCAGGAGCTCCTCTTTTATTACTGTTTTTGTTGCTGGAATTCATGGCCAAGGGGGTGGGCTGGCAGATCACAGTGATTACTCCAGTTTTCGGGATGGGGTGCAGGGCAAGGAGCCTGAAGAGGAAGAGAGGGGACACTGGGCCTCCTTGGCATCTCTAAATCTACCCAAAGGAGAAAAGAAAGGTCAAAGGGGCCCACGCCTCTCCTTCCCGCCTGTAGGCAGAGCTGGGCCAGTGGCTGAAGCAGCACTTTAGGCTTGCAGTGATGACTCAGGCTCCTCGCCCTCAGCCATGGCTCATGCCCGGAGGAGAGAACAGGGTGTCCAGGCAGTTTACACTTGTGGGCGAAATGTCAGCCACACTCCTGCCTCACCCTGGGTTAGGAAGCTACCCACCCAGGGCCCAAGGTTCTCTGTGCCAGAAGTCAGAGCTGGAACAGTAGGTTCCTATGCCATCAAGGCAAGCCCTCTTTGAGGAGACTTATGTATACACCATCATTGCTTTAACACCCCCAGGAAAGGCCCCCACATGACACCCCTCATCCCTCCAAATCATTTACAAGTGCATTCCTTTTTCCTCTCTCCCAGGCATCCAGTCTGAATTCTACATCAACACCACCCGAGCAGGCCCAGGGACGTTGTCTGTCACTATTGAAGGCCCATCCAAAGTTAAAATGGATTGCCAAGAAACCCCAGAGGGGTACAAAGTTATGTACACGCCCATGGCTCCTGGAAACTATCTGATTGGTGTCAAATATGGCGGACCCAACCACATTGTGGGCAGTCCATTCAAAGCCAAAGTGACAGGTAATGATGAACAACCTCAGAGTTATTCTGCCCTATGGAGCTAGTCTTATCTGACTAACAATATGATTTTAGATATTAAATCTACTTTGAATCTTGAATGTAAAGAAATTGTATGACATTCCAGAGGCCTGTGTGTTGAAGACTTGCAAAAATAAGTCCACATAGTGAGGCAGTATAGATGTGGAGAAAGCAGGTTAGGTGGGTGTTTTTGTTTTTTGATGTCCCCCCCCCGTTAACAGAAAAGAAGAAATGTTTACATACTTGAAATCTAATGTATTTGTTTAATCAGAGCCTGAAAAAAAAAACTTTCTAAATAATCTTGAAATAATCAAAAAGTTATTTTTTAATTTATAAAAACATAGGCCAAGTGCAGTAATTCCAGCAACTTGGGAGGCTGAGGCAGGAGGATCACAGGTTCAAGGCCAGCCTCAGCAATTTAGTGAAGCCCTAAGCAACTTACTGAGACTCTGTCTCAAAATAAAAAATGCTAGGGATGTATCTCAGTTGTTAAAGCATCCCTGGGTTCAATCAAAACAAAACAAATTTACAAAACGATGTCTCCTTCCAAACACTGAGGGAAAAAATGCCAAATAGTAAAAACAACTTCACAAGCTGGCACCCAAAGGTAACCACCATACATATTGTAGTAAATCCCTTCCATGATGTCATGATTCACTATTCGATAAGTAATATAGGTTCATCGCAGAAAAATGAGAAAACTTGGGAAAAACATCCTCTGTCATGTATAGAATCAATTTTGATAATGTATATATGTCCTTTCAATGTGTATATGTCCTACTTATACATAGAGTATTTTATATGAATGGAAAGGTAAATTCTGCAGGGTGGCAGAATTTGTCAGCTAAGGCCAGACTGGTCCATTTGCCCAGAAAGGCAAATCCTAGTTGTGTGTATGGGTGAAGCCTCAGGGGATTTGGAAGACACTGTGGTTATGGGATATGGATATATAGTGGCTTTTGTATCCAGGTGTTGAGCTGTGGGGATCTTTCTGGGACTTTTGATTGGGATACCTGCCTGTCCTCTGACTGAGAGTCCTCTGGTCTGGCCATGCATCCCTCCCTCCTGCTCTTCCATGTCCTAGGTCAGCGTCTGGTCAGCCCGGGCTCATCCAATGAAACCTCATCCATCCTGGTGGAGTCAGTGACCAGGTCATCAACAGAGACCTGCTATAGTGCCATCCCCAAGTCATCCTCGGATGCCAGCAAGGTGACTTCCAAGGGAGCAGGGCTCTCAAAGGCCTTCATGGGACAGAAGAGCTCCTTCCTGGTGGACTGCAGCAAAGCTGGTAGGTAGCATGGTTCCACTGGGATGGGGAGGAAGGGAATTGGGCCTAGACAGGCCAAGTATCCTCCTACACTTTGACCTGCCCTGCAAAGGCCTTCAGTAGCATCCACACCCCCTCTCCCTTGCCCCATGCAACCCAACCACCATCAAACAACCATGTTTCTTGCCCTATTCTCCTGCACTTAATGTCTATACCTGTTTGTTCTCTCTTTGCCCCTTGATTCTTTGAGATGACCCCAAGGTAGTCATGAAAGGCAGTAGTATCCCCATTACAGATGGGCAGACTGATTTGGTTAATCTAGTCCCTTCTCTTCCACTAATTGCTCTAATTTCCAGCTGAACTTGGGTGTTAGGGGTCAGTTGCTCAGGTTCTGACATCCAGAGCACCTGGACTAGAAACTTGGCTCTGCCATTTCACTTATTTGTTCTCAATGCTGGGCACATGAACCTCACTGTCAAGCTCTGTAAGTCTCTGTTGGTAATCACCACAGCCTCCCACCTGCTCAGGGGCCCAGCGTCCTCACAGAAGCTCAACAGGAAGTCCCAGGCTTGTCTCCCTTGGTTCACATGTTCTCTTTCTGCTGCCCGGAGTGACCATTTTCCCTTTGCTCTTCAGGTTCCAACATGCTGCTGATTGGAGTCCATGGACCCACCACACCCTGTGAGGAGGTCTCCATGAAGCATGTGGGCAACCAGCAGTACAATGTCACATATGTTGTCAAGGAGAGGGGGGATTACGTTCTGGCCGTGAAGTGGGGGGAAGAACACATCCCCGGCAGCCCTTTTCATGTCACAGTGCCTTAAAATAGTTTGCATCAAATCCTGGGAGGAATTCTTATGGTTGCTTTTATCGCTTGTTTGTAATTCATTTTATACCATGTCCTCCAGCCTGTTGGTGGGTCTAAATCCCATCCCAAAACACTACCATTCTAAAGTGCCTTCAGAAATAAGTCCTAGACTTGACTCTTGAGGGATGCATTGGGTAATCATAAGAAATGCAAATTTGTCCAATGGACTAAGAAGATCCAACGTATACTCAGTTCACCTCAGACCTTGCGGGGCACAGGTCACTGCAGACAGACCAAGAATATGGGGAAGACTGACATTTTTTAAAAAATGAAACTGGCCAACCTAAGCTACAGGTTTACTGTTGAGCCTTTACAAAAAAAAGACGGGGGGGGGCATGAGGGGGGGGTGGGAAGGGGCCAGGAAAAAAGAAGAGACCTAGTTTAGGTTGTAATTTAGCAAAGGGATTCCTTCAGACCAGCTGGATCTAGTCCAGGGCCCATATTCCATAGGAAAAGGCTGTTAGGTGCTCCACTATGTTGACACTACTTCTCACCAATCACCCATTGCACTCTGGCCTCCTGACATTCTTTCTGGGCAGAGCCAATTGGTGGCACATGGCTTCCTAGTGTTTCTGTACTTCTCTGGTGATTATTTCTTTGCAGAGTCATAAAAGTGTGACCATTTGGCTGCCACGGATCTGCTTTAGGTTTCCAAGTCCATTTCAGTCACTTGGTGGAGGAAATTCTGCAGTGACCAGCAGCAGCCCACTTGCCAAAGATCCCTTCTCACCAACACTAGCCCTTGCTTCTAACACACGCCCCAGTCACTTATCAGCCTTACCAAAACCTTTAAAGTGACCTCAGGTGGGTGCACATGTTAGTGTTCGCCTCATGAAGGCCTATAAGGTGACACAACACTCATAGCCACCCCTGCCAACCTGTGGGTCACTCAGGAAAATATTAATATAGACAGGAAAGAATAAAGCTCATGCCAACTTTTGGCTGAGTGTTGGGGAATTGTTGAGGGGCAGGGAAAGGCAGCAGCTTCTTTGGTGATCGCCCCCTTTTGGCAGAACAGTGAAAGCTGCGTAGCTGACAGTTTGCATCAAATCCTGGGAGGAATTCTTATGGATGCTCTTGGGAAAACAATCAGCAGGTGCAGAATTTTTTTTTTTTTTTAAATGGGGTATAGGACAGTTTGCAAGCCTTTTGCAGACCTGAGCTGGCTTTGGGATTAAGTTAAAGCAATCAGGGACGTTGCCTCATGGCAGAGCTCAGATGTGTAGCTTGGGCCAGGCAGGCTGACTTTCTGATTTGCTGCTTAGTCCTAAGGAAGTGGCCACTGTCATCATGGGTGTGGTAGGGCTCTGGAGGTGTAGCAGTTGGAGGTGGGTGTTGGTGGTAAAAGTCCACCTTTTAGAAACTGGAGGCAGCCCGAAGCTTAATGTGAAGGGACCACAGGCCTTGGAAACGAGGACAGGGAAGCCAAACTGGAATCAAATGCCGACTGTAAATTGTATCTTATAACTTATTAAATAAAACGTTTGCGCCGTAAAGTTTCCCCTGGCGTTCCTGGGTGGCACCTTTTTTCTGAATAAATGGTTTGAGCCCCTGACCAGCTCTCCCAATCCCTGACTGAAAAGGCACAGAAGAGCAACTCATTTTGACAATGAGCCTGATTGATCTCTTTCTTCAGGGAAAGGTCTGTGTTCTCCTGAGAGGCCAGGTGACACAGCCTGAAAGGTGAGGGGACTTTGAGAAGAGGGTGTATGGACCCCAACACCAACACCTCTTGGAGAGTTCTAGATACGAAGCTCACCCAGGTAAAAGCAGGGGCAGGTGGAGGCTTTTCCTGATTACATCAGGAAGTCCTTATTTTCCAGGATGTTCTCAAACAAGAACATACCACATATCATCCCACTGCCTTAGACATGCAAGGTTAATATTCGGTGTCACCATCTGCCCTCTGTGTGCTCATACTCTTTATTCTGAGAGCTTGCTTTATTTATTTATCTATTTTGTGGTGGTGGGGGGGACTGAACCCAAGGCCTTATGATGCAAGGCCAGCACTTTACCAACTGAGCTATATCCCCAGCCCTCTCTTTTCTGAGAGCTTCTGGTTGCTGAATGGCTAGGATGGGACTGGCCCCTTGCCTCCTCCTAGCATTCTTAACAGTCCTGTGTCACCGTTGACAAGGCTATTGGGTGCAGTTTGCACACCAAATTTGCAGACACAGCTTGCTTGGGGTTAGACCCTGGCCCTTCTGACCCCAAATGGGAACTCTGCCCCTGTTGACACTGCTATGGAAACAGAAGCCCCGGGGCAGTGGTTGAAAGTCCCTGCTGGGCCCGGCAGGAAACTAGATCTTTCCTATGTTTCTTCTGACACCCAGCTGTGAATCAGAATGGTGATTTGTTTACCTCTGAGAGGTGGGAGGAAGAAATTGGAGGGAAGGAACACCCTTACCTGTGGCTTGCACTATGAAGGACTAGCCTGGGCTCCTAGCTCAGGGGGCTGTGGGGAGTCCACTCAGGCTCTGCCCTGATGTTCTGGCTTTGCCCACCGAGGAGCACAGGGGCATAGCCAATGATTTCTCCACCTTCCTGAAGCCTGACCAGGCATTTGGGGAAGGCAGCATTTGTAGGTTAACAGCATGGACTTTGACATTGGTATCCCAGAATTTAAACACTGGCACCACATTTCACTGGCTCTGTGACCTTGGAGAAGTCACTTTACCCCTCTGAGCATGCCTCTCTCTGGGTGATGATGAGGAAAAGATGAAATCCCACTGGGAGCTGTAAGGAACAGTCTGCCTGAGTCTCCCACTGCTATGGCCTATACCTGCTGTAGTATCAGGACTGTACCTGGTGGCCCCCCTACATGGGGCTGGAGCACATTTCCACTGTAAAAATTATACCAAAGATATCTCAGAGTAGAAATCTGCACACCTCTTTACTGGCCAATAGCTAGAATCAGAGGGCAACTCTTAACTGACTTGGGCTTGGCTGCCATGGAAACCTGCTGTTGTTTGTACAAACACCTTGAAAACTTTGAAACTTGATCCCTGGACAGGCCAGGTGCCAGGTCCTTTCCCACTTTCACTAGTTGACTTTGCCCCATTCCTAGCAGGAGCTGACAGGATTGTCACTCTTCAGCATCTAGTGGAGGTTAAGCAGACAGCAACTAGCAGGTGCTCTGCAGAGATCAGTTCTCAACACAGAAGAGGCCCTGCCTGTCATGCATGGATGCCCACCTCTTCCTCATCGGGGTTCACTTTGAGACCCAGGGCAGCACCCACCAACTGCTGCCAGGAAGGAAATGTTTTATTACCATGTCTTTGCTTCTAATGCTCTCGTGAATACCTGGGGTCTTGACCCCAGGCCTAATGCTAGGACTTCAAAGGGGCCCTGGAAGCCACATTCTGATAAGTTTGGTGTAAAATGAGTTGGGTTCATAGGGATTTAATTTCCCTTGAAAATTGCTCAGCCTTGAAAAATAGAATAAAGGTTAGTGGCAAAATGAGTGCTCAATCCTTGCCAAGTCCTCAATAAATAATAAATTATTTATTTTTGGTTCCAGGAATTAAACTCAGGAGTGCTCTGCCACGGAGCTACATCACCAGCCCTTTGATTTTTTTAAAATTTTGAGACAGTCTCACTGTTGCTTAGGCTTTCAAACTTGGGATCATCCTGCCTCAGCCTCCTCCTATGTTGCTAGGATTATAGGTGTGCACCAACAAGCCTGGCTCAAGTTTGTCTTTAAACAGAGGAAGATCACTTATTGTGATGTCTATTAACCTTGGTACTTGGCCTCATCTCATCCAGTAGGGTCAGGGAAGGAATGGAGTCTTTTCAGATCTCTATAACTTGGCTGGAAGTGGGGGCTGCGATGAGGAATTAGATTATTTCACTAATGAAAAATTTCTCAGAAATGTATCTTACTTAATTTTGTTGTTGTTTTGTTTTGTTTCCTTCTCATAAATACCACATTGCAGGGAGTTAAGGCCCCAGGCTTGCCTGGATTCAATTTTTCTTCTCTGGCTTTGTCCTAAGGATGCTGCCCAAACACATGGTGGGAGGGATTTTTTTTCCCCCCCAAACAAAGGAATCCTTCTGTGCTTTGTGGCTTTGTCTGGGGGCAGCCCACGGGGACAGCTCATGTGTGTGGAATTTAGGGAGACCTACCTCTCACACCCTTTTTCTGTTCCTCCTGCATTAAAGGCATTAAAGGCATTAAAGGCAGGAGGAATTTAGGAGCCTGATGGGGGACACATAGCCAACCTTTGCGCTTGCTTATCTTCCCAGGACAAAGACTGCAGGCCTTTTATTGCTCACCCTTTCCCCTCTGCCCTGACCACTGCCTTCCCAAGGCACCCGGACACCTCCCCCTGGCTTGGAGTTGCCCTTGCTTCTAGGCAGTAGACATTCTTAGGGCAAAGTTGGTGCTGGATTCTGGCAGGGTGTTCTCAGAGGAGAAGGAAGCCTTGGCAGAGGTGCCAGGCCCTGGAAAAGTTAGACTTCCGATGGAGCAACAAGCAGCTGCTTTAACAGCAGCAGTACAACCATGTTGAGAAGTGCTCAGCAAATGATGGCTCAGATGCTACAGCTCAAGTCTGGATTCCAATCCCAGCTCTGCTGCTTATCAGCTGAAACCTCTCAGGAAATGCCCTCTCTGCCTCAGTGCCCTCATCTGTATAATGGGAACATAACAAGAAACTTCAATGATCAGACCTACACCTCCCCTCCTTACTCCCCCACCCCCACCCCTCCGCTGACCTAGGTAAACCCTCAACTCAGAACTGCCAGGAAAGGGGCTGCCTGAGTGATCCCAAAGTGGAGTGGAAGGGGTGCCCCGTTGGGGGAAAGGTGGCTGGCAGGGAAGCTATTTAGCACAGTGGTTATGAGTACAGGCATGGGCTTCCCATCCTGGCTCTGCCATGACCTCAGGCAGCTCACCATCCTCTTAGAAAACTGTGCCTCGGTTTTCTTTCCAATGAAATGGGGTGGTGGGACTCACCCCATAGAATGTTCTAGCATTAAACAACAAAATCTGCATAGAAGGCAAATCTCAGTGTCCGGTCCATGATGAGGGCTCACAAAATATTATTGGTGTAAGGTGACTATAATTGTTCATCAGTGGGAATGGTTGGGATGGGCCAACCACAGGACTCTGAGCTGGGATGTCAGGGCCTGGGGGCATGGCCCCAATGGTGGGAGGAAAATTGAGTCAGATGTACTTGGAAAACTAACCCCCCCACGCACAACCTTTGTCCTTTTAGAGTTTCAACCACCCTTTCCCCTTAATACAGGCCTAGACCAGAGATAGACCTTCACAAGTTAATTTTTCCAAGTATGAAAATTATCCCAACTAAAACTAATGGTAGGCTCAGAGACACATTATCTCTCTCTCTTTTTTTTTTTTTTTTTTAAGAGGAGCGTACCAAAACTCAGGTTGAGTGACTTGCCCGAAGTCACACAGGTAGTGATTAATGGTCAAGCCTCAATTTAGGAAAAGGACCATGAAGTTTACACTGCTCTCAGACTCAGGGAAGAGAATTCAAAAGCAATTCTCCTCATGGACCATCTGCTGTCCTTAGGCCCATTGGAAGGCATCACTTTGAGGACATCTTTCTTTTCTTTTCTTTTTTTTAAAGAAATTGTATTGAGCTGAAATTATTTTTTTAATATCTTTATTTTTATTTGTTGATTTTTATGTGGTGCTGGGGACCAAACCCACTCATGCGAGGCAAGCGCTCTACCACTGAGCTACAACCCCAGCCCTTGAGGATGCTTTTCTATACCTTCCCCAATTCTCTACCCTTCGTGGGATTGATTTGTCTACCAGGGTTCACCTTAGATTGCCTGAGGGCAGTCCCTGCAATAGGAAAGTGTGAGGTCTCTGAAGGCCCATGAACACCTGCCTCTGCCTCTCTATATTCAGGACACCCAGACTTACCAGTCCAGGGGCAAGGACAACCTGTACTCTGCCTGTCTTCATCTACCTTTGGCTCAGTGCCTGGCACAGGGTCAAGAAAAAATGAATTTTGTTGAATGAATAAACAAGAATACAGCTGGCAGCGAGCAGAGGCTTCTTGGAGTTCCGAGATCATACCCGTTACCCATGATGGTTTGACCCCAGACTCCTGCCACCCTTGGCCCTGCAACTCCGGATTCTTCCCTTCATTCCTCACAGGACCTGCCCCTGCAATGGGGCCAGTATGAAGTGTGCCTGTTCATCATTTCCTTGAGCACATTCTTAGCACTGTGCTAGGCACCACCCCTAGACATGCCCTGAAGATTCGTTTTGCTGGTTTTGTTTACTTGCAGCTCCAAGCAGAGTGTAGGCCCTCAGGAAAGAAGGAGTGGAACGTGTACCCTGGTCAGGAAGCCTGGATTCTAACCATCGGTGACCACTATGGGTGCTCAACCAAGACAGGTCGCACTTAGTCTACACTTAATCTTTCCAGATTTCCCAATCTCCCTTCCTGCTGTCTCACCGCAGGGGCAGTCTGCAACTGTGGGTTGCATGTTGGGTGACTCCCTCCACACACCAGCTGTGGCCCTGGCACATCATAGCATTTCTCCACACATCCAGTCTTTCCTCCCCCACTCTGCCTGGCTAATTCAGGTTCACAGTCTCTGTCAAAGGTCACTTCCTCCAGGAAGCCTTCCCTCCCCTCCACCCCCCAACACACCTTGTTAATGATTCTATCCCTCCTTCTCAATTGTGAAACCTCCCTGTCTCTCCTTATCGGCCTTTTGGATCTGACTTGGTGCCCGGTGGAGTTGAGAGCAAATGAATGTTTGTCAAAGGGATAAATGATAGCACACCCAGCAGAGTGGAAAGACAGTGGTCCTGGAGCATTGTGGGTAGCCTCCTTCTCTCTGATATTCACCAGAAAGGCCCTGGTCTAGGAGGCAGAAGGTGCGAGGGTCCAAAGGCTGACTTCAGGGTGCTGCTGGGCATCTGGTGAGCCCTCCTCTGCTCCACCCTGCCTGTGCCCTCTTGTGGTTGTCACGGTCTATGTCTATGACATCCATGGGTTTGGGAGTCGATCCCAAAGCAACCACTTAACATTGTCAAGCCTCAGTTTTCCTCACTGGGAAATGTGATGTGAACCTGTCTGCAAATCACACTAGAATTGAGATAAAGCAGGGAAGCCCCAGCCTAGGGTCTGGCACAGAATGGGTGGCTCCCTCCACACACCAGCAGTGGGTCCTGGCATTTCTCCACACATCCATTTCCCTATCTGGAAGGAGCCATGGATGCCCTAGCAACACAGTGATGGTTGAAGACAACTGGTACCCGATTGGTGCTTGTTAAAGTTCAGCTGATTTTGATGGAGAGCATAACACTGTCAACTCATTCTCCCAATACCAAGGGGAGTTCTCAATATCATTCCCCTGTGTACTGAGTCCACTGGGTTAACCAAGTGGCAGAAGTCTGTTAAGAGCTGAGCTGCAGAATTGCTGTTTCCAGAAACTTCCTGCAGGTGGCATTTGGGCTTCCCTTGGGTGCCTACTGCATAGTAGGTGACATCAAGGTTTGCTGCATGGAATAGAGGCCCTGGCTCCCCATCCACCTCTTGGGGACTCTGGGCATGAGGTGAAGGCCTGGGCCTGAGACCTTTGGGGGAAGAACAAGGCTCCTTGCCAGACACCCTGGGGTGAGCCTATGTAGCCAGGCTCTGCTCCTTTTTCTAGCCTGCTCTGTGCTTCTGCCTGTGGGTGGCCAGAGTCCCCCGACCAGCCCAGCCTCTCCTCTCCAATGGGGCCTTGTCAACCCAGCCCTCATTGGCTGCACGTTTCCTTGGAGACTGACACCAGCTACTCAAACACAGGCCTCAGAACTATGGGAAGAATCTTTCTTTCTTCCCTCCCTGACCCTCCCCAGCCATGAGGGAAGTGTCATTCTCCCAGAACCAGGCCTGCTGGAAAGAGCACATCCAAAAAGAGACTGCTGCCCGGGTTGCCTGGAATATCCACTATGGCCACAAGTTCCTGAAGGAGGGGACCAGGGCCAAAAAACAGCCCAAGCAGGCCCCCTTCAGATCAACCCCAGTAGCAGGCCAAGTGCCTGCCAGCAGCTCCCTTGTCAGCAAGGAGGTGAAGGTGGGACATCCACAGGTCCAGGGTGTCCAGAACCAATTGTCCAGTTTAGTGGGTGTCCAGGTCCCTCCACCCAGTAGTATCAGAATAAGGAAGGCCAGAGGAGCCACTCAGGGCCCAGCAGGCCACAGCAGACCAGAGAACTCAGTGATGAGGCAGGCCCCCTCAAGCACCCTGAAGCTGCTCTTCAAAGGTGTCTCCCAGAGTGGCGAAGGCCGGGCCCGGTACCTCCAGGAGCGGTATCGGCAGTTACCAGAGGAGAAGTTCCGGTACCCGATCCTGTCATCCTGGGAGTATGGCTGGCATGTGGGTAAGGGCACCATTCTCTTGCCATTTCAGGCCTTTGGCAGGGAGGGCCAGCCTCATCTTTCATCATCCGTCTCTCCTGGCACATCAAACTGGCTTACCAACCCTGCCTTTTCATGTACACCTGTGCATATCCTGGCCTCCCCACCTGGAATGTTCCTCCCGCCCCTTCCTCTGTCCTGGCCAGATTTCACCTCACCTCCTCTGAGAAGTCTTCCAAGAGTCCCAGGCAGATTTGTTGAGTTCACCTTTGTGCTTCT